CTTCCCCCTTCCCCCTTCCTCCCTCTCCCACCCCCACCCCTCCCTCACCCCCAGCTGAGGACTTGTGGCGTCGGTGGCCTAGTGGTTAGTCTCTCGAACTCGCAACCGTAAGGTAGTGGGTTCGAATCCTGTCAGGGACCCGACGTTGTGTCCTTGGGAAAGGCTCTTTACCTAGCATCTGCGTTTGTTGCCATTTTTTTGTCCAAAAGTTGTCAAAAGTTGCCACAAAAAGTGGCAAAAGTTGCCCAAAAAGTTGCCCAAAAAGTTGCCATTATTTTTCAAGCTTTCAACTCTCTGTGACGACGTATATAGCAATATATAGATAGAGGTAGCAAAATCTAAAGCACCAGAATTTCTTGTGCTGTTTTAAGCCTCCAGAATATCATTTGTAGTCACCCAGTGTATAAAATCGTGAAAAATAAAGGTTTCGCAACAGAATGAATGCAAAATTAGAACAGCACGAATAACTAACCACAAAATTAAAAAATTAGGGCGCGTGTCCACCTGTCCCAAGATATGCTGTTTTAACCCTAAACGTGTTTAATTCAAGAAACAGTAGGCCTAGAGGATATTAGATGTAAATTATAGGGCGTGCCAGTGTCAGTGAAGTATCCGGTTTTGGTGGAGACACGCTCTAAAATGTACACATTTATATTATTGAAAGGGTGGAGCAGCATCAAATTAAATGACATTAAATCTAAGCTGTATAAACGAAAAATAATATAAAAAAATCATCAGAACAATTTTTAGAAAAATTAACACACCAACAAATTGAAACGAAACCAAGGCGGGAAAAGAAGACAAACAGCTAATAGAAATAGTAAGTAACGTAACGTGTTTATATTCTCGGCATGAAAATAGATACACATCATGGACATCTTAAAACGTATCAAAATACATAAATGTGTAATATGTTAGGAAGTAGCTTTGTTGTTTTGTCTTTTTTGAAAAATGCAAAAATCGCGACCGCGACAATAGCAGATGCTAGTTTTACACGAGTTTTCCTCACTTCACCCAGGTGGGAATTGGTACCCAGCTATAGACAGTTAAAGATCTTGTCAGTTTGTAAGTGTTTGAGCGCTTAATCAGCTGCTTGCACTGTATGCTTCCCGGGAAGCTGAGAATATTTCTGAGTGTTCTATGGTCTGCTGAGGTAATAATATAGTGTACAGCGCGAAGAGCTTGCTGTCGAGCGGGGTTATGCGCTATACAAATTAAATGCAATTTATTATCTATTATTACATACAAAGGAAGGACACATACTTTCATCAATTACATTTATCATTATTCAACCTGTCTCTTATTACTGCTTGTACATCTATTGTTAGCCTGATTATTTCTATTGAATTTTAAGCTATCCATGTTTCTGTTTTGTTTTCTCCTGGACGCCTATTTCCCGGAGTTAATTACTTGGCCAGGACCCGAGACCGTAAATTATACATGTATTTATAATCATTGGCCAGGACCCGAGACCGTAATGTATACATGTATTTATAACCATAGGCCGGACCAGGGACAATAAATTATACATGTATTTATAATCATTGGCCAGGACCCTGGGTCGGCGATCCTGTGTTCCGCCCAGTTGAAAGAATTATAATTACATAGGCTAATTATATTATATAGTTACATAGGCTAATTATATTATATAGTTACATAGGCTAATTATATTATATTATCATTACAAAGGCTAATTATATTATATTA